GAAAGCGTTCATAATCGTATGGACATTGGTTGTCGCTGTTTTATACGTCCCCAGTGGGTGCCAGCGGCCATTTGTCCAAGCTGTGCCAGGTTCGTCAGGATCAGCTCGCTCCGTGCCACACATCGTGCGCTCCGCTCTCCTGCGGCGAGCCAACATGTTACCTGCCGGCCGCTCGCCCAACTTTCGGATGTTCAACCTCTTTTTTTAGTTTCTGCTTCGCGGCAAAATCCGGTTATCCCGTGCATGCGGGCGCGGGTTGGGTGGGTCCTTCATCGTCGTCGTCCTAATCCTACTCCTTGCTTATCGTCCTACTCATCCCTTTCCTCCTCCTCCTTCTCTTCCTCCTCCTCCTCCTCCTCCTCATCCTGCTCATCGTCCACCTCCGTGCACACCTCCCCTACTCATGCCGGGCACAGCTCGATGGGGCCCTTTGGGAGTTCCCAGGTCGGCAATGACACCCGTTGGCGGAAAAAGGCAAATCGTCGCAATGGGAAGGGATGCGCGAGAGGGGTAAGATGCAGGAGTGGTGTCGCAAGCGCGCCTAGCTTGCCAGACTCCCAGCATGCGCGCGTCTGTCGTCGTCGTCAGTCGTCCTTCGTTCGTCCGTCGGTCGTGCCGGCTTACTTATGCCGCGGGGCCCCCCTTACGCTCGCAAAGCAATGTCATCCATCGTTGACTCCAGACAGTGAGTTGTTCCATTGTGCTCATGCAGCGTGTGTTGTTCAAGCTATCGTGTATCAGGTAACTGTATATTATGCAACCTTGGCGGTGTGAGTTATATGGAGCAGCCTACTTCGACTGTGGAACAGATGTGGTGTAAGCTATGCAGCTGGCTATGTTGTGCGATATTGGGCGTGTGAGCTGTATGGTGAGAGCTGTGTTGTGCAATTTCTCTGTGGTGCGAGTGCTGCTGCGAGAGCACAGCGGCGCACGCTGAAGTTGTGTATGCCACGTGCTGCGAGCTGTGTGGCGCGGGTTCATCGCAGCATGCTGCCGGGCGCCCGCGGGCCAACATCCTCGAGAAAAGCCCACTCCGCGCACAAGAGGCGCCCACGAGGTGCCCCCGGGCGGGCAAGGCGCGCCAGCGAGGCAGAGTCCTCGAGGCGCCCCCCCACCGGCGCACAAGAGGCGCCCACGGGGCGCCCGGCGAGCGGGCACGGGCGCCCCGGAGGCGAACCTTCGGGACATCCACGCGGCGCACGGGGCGCCCGCGACTGGCGGCGCGCAGAGGGGGGGGGGGGGGGGGGGGGAGGCTTCTTAGGAGGAGGCTGCTGCTTAGAAGGCGGCGGTCTTGCATCTATACAGAAGGACCGCGCCTTCTAAGAAGCAGAGGTGCTTCTAAGAGGCCTTCCCCCCCCCCCCCACCCCCCCTCTGCGCGTGGCCAACACGAGCGGGGCCGGGCGCCACCGCGGCGAGGCCTCGAGGAGGCCCACGCCGTGCACGGCCGCGCCCCCGAGCGGGCACGGGCGCGAGGCCCCCGGGAAGCCCAGTCACCCGGCGAACCGCGCCACTTGGCATGGCTTGGACGCGTGCATTTTGTCTCGGCGAGGAGCCACGAGGACCATCCTCCTCCTCCTCCTCCTCCTCCTCCTCCTCCTCCTCATCCTCATCCTCCCCCTCCTCCCCCTCCTCCTCCTCCTCCTCCTCCTCCTCCTCCTCCCCCTCCTCCTCCTCCTCCTCCTCCTCCTCCCCCTCCTCCTCCCCCTCTTCCTCCTCCTCCTCCTCCTCCTCCTCCTCCTCCTCGAGGCCTGGGGGCCCCTCGACGCCTCGAGGAGGACCATCGAGGGACAAGAAACACGCACGAAGCCGAAACATGCACTGGAAATGGACGTCCGAGCGAAGGCAAGGTAAGAACCCCTAGTGCAAGCACCGCTCGGAAAGCCTGCCCCCCCCCCCCCCCGCTGGGGTGGCAGCCAGCGCTGACACGACAACGGCAGCGCCCGCGCGGCGGGCTCCCCGACTGCTTGGGCCGCGCCTGCCGGCATCTCCTCCTTGCCCTCCTCGTCCTCGTCAGTCGAGCCATGGCATCCTCGTCCTCCTCCTCGCCCTCCTCCTCGCCCTCCTCCTCGCCCTCCACCTCGCCCTCCACCTCGCCCTCCTCGCGCTCCTCGCTCTCCTCCTCGCCCTTCGTCGCCCTCCTCAATCGAGTCATCGCCTTGTTTTCGCCGCTGCCCGACTCGCTGCCACCTGCAGCACCCCCTCCCCCCCCCCCCGGGCGAGGAGGGCTGGAAGCGCAGCGAGGAGCTCTTCCAGAGGGGCTCCCCCCTCAGGCGGGGCCGCCCGCCAAGCTCAGGTGCAGGCTGGCAGAGGGAGGGGGATGATCAGGAGGGGGAGAGAAGAATGAGGAGGAGGAGGAGGAGGAGGAGGAGGAGGAGGAGGAGACTCTGGAGACTCTACATGATCGCGTAGCGATATGAAGGAAATCCTCCAGCACCTTCTGTGGGTGCTTCCTCTGGGCTTGCTCAGCTTTACTGAGGGCTTTGGGCCAGAGCCCCAAATTTGATACGTAGTAAATACGCCCTGTGGCCGTCGGGGGTTCGCAGGTGGACGCCAGCTTCCCAATATGATGGGAGACATACGTGCGACAACACGCACATAACTAAGTCCCCAGCCCCGTGTGGAACCTCGGATGATGGGTTTAATGAATCCTCCCCCTTGCTACGTGTACCTGCTTGCCCAGGGGGGGCCTCATATAAGTGCCATCTACATTGATGAGGTTAAAGCATTATGAATTGTTTCCTTTTTCGTGGGGAGCTTGTGTGGCTAATCCTCGACACACAGTGCATTGGCGGCCTGATTCGTGCAGCATGTGGGTGGAAGCGACAGCGGCACACAGAGCGGGAGCTGGGGGTCGGGCAGGCCGAGCCTTGTCTCGCTTGTGCCGTCTCCTACGTACCAGGGCTCCCCTGTCGGCTACCTCTATAGGGCTCGTTGGAATGCGAGGGCTTCTAGGGTGGACTTCAGAGGGCGCGTGCGAACAAGGTAGGCGTTGTTCTCAATCCGGTCTATTTGCTGCTTGATCGTCCGGGCTACTCTGTGGTCGTCGGCGACCACGCGGGCCCACTCGTCAACAAGGGTATTGCCGTATGCAAGCGATCGAGTGGTTCGTCCTCTCGTGATGTCCTCACTCCCTGGGTGAGACAAGACAGAGTACAATGGAGTCTCCCTTCCCTCTCTTCGAGCAGCTTGCCAACCTGCTACCAGAGGTCGGCGTCGGGGCCGTCGGGCTGGTGGGGGTGGCCATTCTAGAAGTTCAGGTAGACGCCATCGCAATCTGTCACGTAGACGACGTCGAGGTCGGAGACCTGCAGGGCGAGGAGGAGGGCAAGTAGTTCGCCCCGTGCCACAGTCTGCCGCCCACCTGGGTGTGGTTCCTAGAGCGCCATGTCCAGCTCCATGTCGTTGGCGTCGAGGTCTTGAAAGGCCGCGATGGCGACACCGGCACGTCGTGGTACAGGGGACGCCGTGTCAGCTCCTCCACTTGCGTCGCCAAATATTAAGACATACTCACCTTGGCGTCGCTGCTCGAAACACCCTGACGTGAACAAGTCGACTCCGTAGGTGGTCCACGAGGGTATATGAGTACAGGGGCAGGTGTGTGGGCCCACTGCTGAGGTAGCAATCCACGAGCCCAGAGGCATTAGTACATGTCCTGCTGGGGCTGTGGCCTCGCCTGTCAGGCGGGCCGTGGCACCGCAGACTGGGCAGCCCTGGTGCTGGCCGCACTCCCGAGCGCGATGGAGTGCTGCTTCCTCTCTTCCGTCGACCCGGTGGGCGGAGGCCGGCCGTGGCTGCTCGGGCCTCTGCCCGCACACGTGCCTCTGGCCAGGTGGCGCCCTGCGGCGATGGCGAGCAGCAGGGCGGACAGCCGGCGCCCCTGCTGCATCTTGCCGAGGTAATTCTGGCATCGCTCGGACGTGTGCATTTTTTCTCGGCGAGGACCATCGGTGAGCATCTCTGATCGTTCAGCGGAAAGTGCACGCACGAAATCGAAAAGTGCACGGGGAATGGACGTCCGAGATGATCGGTTGTCGATCCCGTGCTCCATACCCGAGCCGCCCGTAGTGACGGCTCGCTTGGAGCCAATATTTGGCCTGCACGCTGCGGTCGAGATCCTGAGGGAGCGTAGCTGGTATATCCACCTCTGGACTGCCAGACAGTTGGGAGTTGTCAAACTCCCAGGTATCATGTCCATCTGGTCCTACTAAGGCTGGTGGTAATGTCCATTCGTTCGGTCGCTTCGGATACCATCCATGATCCATGAGGTACATGATGAGTGCTGATTGCGGTCCCCGACTGTGTCGTACTCGGCGGCCCGCTGGTAGCTCCCGAAAGTGAGCGACAACCGATTCCCACGTACAAATAATTGGTCGTGCTTGGCATTGGCCCTGCTTGAATCCACGTGCTGAGCCACAGCTGGATTGCCTCTCTGGGAAACTTCCGAGCGCGGTCGCTTGAGGCAGCCCTCAGGTCCAGCAACGTAGTTGGGCACCTGCCGTGAAGCCGCGGTCCGATGGCGTCGCCCAGGCGGCGTCGGAACAATACCAGCTGAGTCCCGAATACGCCGTGGAGGTGATGCCCACAGCCTCCTGCGGCTTGCGCTCCCTGTTTTGCGAGGCGCCCCGTGGTGTGGTAGCGCCGAGATGCACGGGCCAGTCGGACAAGCTTGCCGTGCACGAGGCCGTGCTTCCGATGGCGTTGGGAGCGAGTGGCCCTGGCGTGCCGTAACCCCCGCGCCCAGGTCTGTGCCGAGGTATGCGGCCTGGGCTCGTGGGAGAACTCGGAGGCCGTGACGAGCCATTCCTCGGGCGATGTACTTCGCATCGTCCATGCTGGAGCACATGGATGATGCTCTTCTTGGCGATGCTGAGCCCCCGCTCGCGAAGGCTGCGGCAGGTGTCCAGGAGACTTCAGCAGCCCTCGTCGGATGGCACGATGGGGCCCTTGCGTCCTCCGCGACAGGTCATCGACCCAGATGCGGTGGACACAGGCTGTGTGCACCTGCGTGATCTGCTGGATCGCTTTGTACTTGCAGCACTTGGCGAAACGCGTGCCCGCCTGCAAGCCCTGGGCGATGGACCTTGATGGCTGGAAAGGTGACGTGTAGCTGCGATTCTGAGTGAGCAGTCGTGGCGCGATACATTGAAGTAGTTCGAGTCCGAGTACTTCTGGTGGAAAGTCCAGGTCGAGAGCCTGGTTGCCGAGGTCGACCCATGAAATCGAGTCGTAGAACGGGGACATGTCAAGGAACCCGTGTCCTTGTGGTACTCGGACATAAGTTGTGAGCTCCTCTTGTAGAGCTCGCTCGTAGGCTTCGCGGAGCGCGGAGTTGCCTCGTTCAGCGGCATCCCATGGTGCGCAGCATTGTTGGTTCAACTCCTGACCTGCACCCTCGCGGCACATGGACCACGCCCGGGCAATCTCAGGTGGGAGCCCGATGGTGCGGTCACCGTTGTCCTCCTTGGCCCGCGTGACTCCTGTCGTCATGAGGAGCTGGTGCGGCCACATGAGGATTGGTTCCATGCTGTTGAAAAAGGCATGCGAGCTCTTCTGAGGCCTCCAGAGGGAGGCGTGGCAGGTCCAGGGGTCTGAGTCTGTCTGCTCCCGGGCCTGTGTGGGCCTTCTGTCGTCGAAGTGCTCGTCGGACCTCCGCTCCAGTGAGAGATGGCACTTCTCGTTCCCGAACGCGCTCAATACTTCGCTCAGATAGGTCGTAGAGGCCCGACGGGTCCTGGCCTGTGGGCGCCCAGAGCTGGTGCCAACTGGTGCCACTTTGGTCGGGGAGGTCCTCGGGGCAGACCAGGGCCGCCTCGCCCGCGACGATCGACTCCGCTGGTGTCGGCTGCGGCCTGGGTGACCCGTGAAGGGTGCTCGGGGCGGGCGCTGGGACCGCCCACTCTCGGACAGCGTGCATGGACCTGCTCCTTTCCACTCGGATGCCCCCCCCCCCCTCCGTAGCGTTCCAGTTTTTCCCAACCTCGGCTGGGATCTGGAGGTGGCGGCGTGGAGCCCCCTCCCCCAGCAAAAATGTTCATAGTGCGGCGTTGGGCTCGTCGGGCGAGCGCTGTCCTGCGATCCCCGCACGGTGCGCCGCCGTCTCGGCGGTATAGCGGCGCGGCCGGTGCCGAGGAAGAGTCGAGCCCCTTCGGCCAGGGGGCGCCGCCCCTGTCGACGGTGATGCCTGCGGCTCCGGCCGGTGTTTCCTGCCGCAGACCATGCACAGCCTGGTGAAGTTGCCGGAGTTGGCGCGGCCTGGTGCCACGGCGGCCCGGTGTCGATAGATGTGCTGCAATGTATCAGGTCATCGAGTCCACCACGAGCTGCTGATGTCCTGGAGCGCGGTGGCGCGCTTGGTCTGAGCCTCTCTGACGGTGACGATTCGAAACTCTGGCCCTTGTGCGTGTCAGCGCCCGAGGTGGTCATGCTGGTGATGGCTATGGATGGTGGCCTCCACTGCGGTCACCCAAGGGCCGTGCAGTTGGCCCAGGTAAGTGGACGTGTCAGGCTTGAGCCAAAATGCGACGGATTGCGAAACGGCAGAGGCGGGGCAGCAGCCTTCGAGGTTCATCATCCCCGCTTCATCACGATGCGATATCCAGAGCTCGCTAGAAATATCGAACGCATGAAAGCCGCGGTTCGGTCCGGTCCGGTTCGGTTCGATGTGCGACTGGTTCGGTTCGACCGGTTCCGGTTCGCGTCGCAAACCGGTTCGGTTCGACGGGTTCGCTTCTTTGTCGTAGACCGGTTCGGTTCGACCGGTTCGGTTCGGCCGGTTCGGTTCGACCGGTTCGGTTTGATGTGTTCCGACCGGTCCGGTTCGGCCAGTTCGGCTCGGTTGGTTCGGCCCGTTCGAATTTATGCAGAGGCGATTTCAGTCAGCCCGTGGGGATCCGGACCCCGGGGGGTCCGGACCAGGGGGGGTCCAGACCGGAGGGGGTCCGGACCCCCTGGGCTCCTCTTGGGGCTCTTACTTTTGCGTCGGGGGGACGCGCGGTCGACTGCTGGTGGGGTGGTCCCTCGGGACCCGGATACCCCGGAGGCGGCCCCCTGCCCTCGCGCGGGGGGGCCGCCAAAGGGGCCCGCCTCCAGCGGTCCGCCAGGTTCGCCCCCCCCCCCAAGGCGTTCAAGGTTGAAGCCTGCGTCGTGGTCGTCGTCGTCGTCGTCGTCGCGGCCCCGCGCGCGCCCGCCAGCCAGGTGCTCGTCTTCATTGGTGCTGAAGTCGCGAAGTCCAGGAGGGTCCTGGATTCAGGTCCTGGGGTCTTTTGAGGTC